AAGCGGCGGCGCGGGGTCCGCTCGGTCCCACCCGACCTGGCGCCCGTTCTCCGCATCCCGGCCCCGCACTCACCGGCCCCCGCCGAGCGGGCGGCTCCGGCCACCCCGCCCCGCCGGCCCCGCCGCCATCCCGGGCACCGCCCCGCGCACGCGCGGCACCGCTGGGGGGGGGGGAGCGGCTGCGCGTGCGCGTGCGGGCGGTGCAGGGCGGGCGTCGGGTCGAGCGCGGTGCCGGGCTGCCCTTGGCTGCTCGGTGGCACCGCGGACGCCCGCAGAGCGCGGCCGGCTCCGGCCTGTCGCCCTTCCCCGCTTAGCGGAGAAGCGATTCGTGCTGCTCGCCGTTCAGATCCGTCCCTGCGGCGGCTGCTGTGAGCTGAACGCCTTCGGGAATCGTCCCCGCTGCGGTGCTTTCAGATGGGGGTGGTTCTTGTGAGCGGCCCTGCCTGCCTGCAGGAAATAGAGGAAGAGACAAAACCGGGGCAGGGGTGAAGCTTTCTCACTAAGGGAGAAAGGAAAGCCGCAATATCAGCTTTAAAAATAGCCGTGACTCCATCGCCACAACCAGCACCGGAGTGGGGGGAAAGACGTGTCCCCGGTCCCAGAGCAGAGCCACAGCTCTGGAGGGCTGTGGGGGGAGATGCTGGCACGGCCCTACAGCAAAGGGAGGAAGGCTGAGTGCTGGGAGCAGTCTGTGTGGCCGGCCCTGGCAGCAGGTGTGTGCAGAAGGCGATGCTGTGCTATAGGCACGAGTGGGGCATCACCCCATGCAGCAACACAGCAACGCTCCCGTCTGCCTTGCAAAGCTCTCTGCAGGGCTCGTGTGCAGGAGGAGCTCTGCCAGCTCTGTGCACACACACATGCGTTGGAGCACGTTGAACAGTGCGGGGTGAGGGTGGAGGTGCCTTCTCTTGAGCACAGCATGCTTTGCTGGTGGGCTTTGTTGAATTTCCCCATTGCTTGCGACCACGTTACAGCCATAGTGCTTGCAGCCTTCTGCAAACATAATAGGAATGGGAGAGGCTCTCTGTGCCCCGGTGCTGGGCAGTGTGACCACAGTCCTGGGCAGTATCTGGGGCATCGGTGCTTTTAAAAGCCATTCCTGAGCGCTGAGCCACCCTCCTGCATCCACACCCCAACTCCAGCTTGGGCTGATCCTTCCCAATTACAGCTTCCCCGTGACCTGCCCTATTGCCTCATTCAGCTCCTCGCTGCGCCTGGCTTTGAAGGAAGTGGAGCGATTAGATCAGAACATAAGGCTTGCCAAAGAAAGTATTTACAGGCTCCTCATTGCTCCTGGAACAGAAGATGAGGGATGTCGCAATGAGACAGGGCGACACGCAGTGACTCAGCTCACACCCTGAGATGTGCCAGGGCAGCGGGGCAGGAGCAGGAGACAGGAGATAACAGCAGTGACAGCCCTGTCCCCCTCACCCTGACGGGGAGCTGACAGTCCTCGTTTGTGGGCGTCCCCTCTGGTGACACCACGCTCATCGCGGATGAGGACTGACCCCAAGGAGCACACAGCCCTGCTCCTGTGGCTGCCCCTCTCCCCACACATCGCTGCTTACCACCACATTCCTGTGCCTGCTTGTCCCCAAGCCGATGGCCTCGATGCAGCAGCACGTTTCATGCCAGCAGTGCCAGGCTGCACATCCTGAGCCCTGAGATGGGCCCTGGGCTGCTTGGCTGGGGCTGATGTCTGTGCCGGGCACAGTTGTGCTCAGCATCTCCCCAGGAACTTTGTTAGCTTCCAGGAACCAAACCAGCCACGTCTCAGTGCTCGCCTGGCACCGCAGAGTGGAAACTGCCAGCACTGCTGCCCTGGGTGACCACAGACTGTGAGCACTGGGTCACAGGCGAATAGAGCTGACTTCTGCTGAGTTCACTTCCCCTTGTCCTGCTCTCTTCCAGCTCGTCGGCTTTGCTGCAGCACTGGCTGGTGCAATTCAGAGCCTGTGTTTGTTACTCCTGAGCACCACCTCCAAGGAGATGCCAGTGCCAGATGCAAGTGCCACTGCATTCCTCATCTGCTGAAGAACATCTCCATGCAGTGGCACTTGCTGCTGGGCCTTGAGATGAGCAGCAGACCCTGGAGAGCCCATGGAGCTAGCAGGACACGAGCCCAGCTCTCACACAGCCCTTGTGGCAGGGGCACACAGGATCCTAAACCCCTTGCCCAACCACTGGGATCTTACCAGCAGTTGCACTGGAAATGCATGCATGCACACAGATACCCAAATCCTCGCTGGCCACAGGCAGGTGGGCCTGGCTCTGGACTCAGCTCCCTACACCACACAGGACCTCATGCGGAGGACATGGGATACCAGGCTGCAAAATGGGTGCAGGAGCCCTCAGCAGGCTCAGCTACCCTTGCCAGAAGGAATACACAAAATAGAGAAACCTGCAGGGAGAAGTGGAAATGAAATTCTTGCAAATGATTGTGGGTATCTCCTAGCCAGCGTGCAGCATGTCAGCAACCATGAGGTTCCAATGCAGTGCTGTGGTGAGAGAGCCTGCTGGAGATGGCCAGGCAGCAAGGCGAGCTCACCAAACACAAAATAATCCAAATGAAGTCCTTCAAAACCAGCGGTTTCTTTCACAAACAGGAAAAGCAGCAAGATGCAAAGCCCTCGGCAAGCTGAAAAACCACATTCGTGCAGATGAAAAGTTATTTTGAGCGCTATTTGGTTACAGCACCAAACTGAAAGCTGGTGTTTGCAAATCTGCCAGAAGGAAGGAGAGGGCTGGGAGCCCTCTGCAGCAGGCAGAGATGGGAGTGCTGTCAGTGGGGTTACGGGTGGGTCAGCAGCACGGCTCGATTTGTAAAGCAAACGCTCAGCAGTTCGGAAGGGTAGGAATGAGTGGGCAGGGACTGTGCCAGAGCTGTGCTCAGGAAGGGCGGCAGGGGGATGCAGCGCAGGCAGGCAGGGCAGCGCCCGGGGCCATTGGTTGTTTTCGGTGTGACACTGCGTTAGGGCAGGCTTTGCTGTGATGCCAGATCGGAGACTCTTGAAATCTTCAAGGATTCTCCTTTTCCTCCCACCCTTTCCCATCACTTTCCTCGTGGTTTCTCTTGGATGGGCTTTGACTTGGTGAAGCACTTTGTATTTTGGTTTACCAGATATTCTCTTCCTAAACTGAATGTCATCAGGTTGTGATCACTGTTCCCTAGGCAACAACCATCAGAATTACAGAGCTGTGATCAGAAATTAATGCTGTTTTAAAAAGTAGTTCCAGGTGCTCATGTGAATTGAGCAGAGCTGCACCTGCAGCCACGTCGGGGTGCTGAGCCCCCAGAGCAAGGTAAGAGTTGTTCTGTAGAAGCACTGGTAAGCACCGTCACAGAGATGCTTTTGCAGAGACCAAGAAGCAGAGGATCAGCAGAAGCCAGCTGTGCAGGCGGTGCTGAGCAATGCAGCTGACACTGCAGGTGCCTCTTTTCTGTGCTCTGTAACCACATCTGTTCCATCCTTCCACAGCACAGTCAGCATCTGGAACCTGTTCTCAAAAGCAAAGAGAAGTGAGGGGGAGAGCACCGTTGCACAGGGGACAGATAGAACTTCCCAGGAGCTGCTTGCCTGGTTGTCAGTGTAATCTTTCTCTTCTGATAACGGCGTGAAGGCAATTAGATAAGAGGCTTTAATTTAAAACAACAACAGAAAACCTTCATCCCAGGAGGTTGCCTCTTCCACCCGGCAGGCTCAGGGATCTCTAAGACTGAATGCAGCTGTGTGAGGTTCTCATTTCATGGTACTTTCCATCCCGTTATAGCATTACAATATGATACACACACACATATAAATACAAAACAAGTGACACACAGTGCAATTGCTCACTGCCCACCAACTGATGCCCACCCCCTGTGCCAGAGCCACAGAACTGAGCCTCCTCCAAAGGTTCTGGGTTCTGTAGCAGCCAAGGGAATGGCTCCAGCTAACAGGATGTGAGTTTGGTACCCCCAGAGCCACCCCCACTGGTTCCCACGGAGGGGCAAGTAGAAGGAATCTGAGGTAAGGAGAATGAAAGCAAACTGTCACTTGAAAATCAGAGGCTGTGGGACAGGCTGCTTATGAATTCCTCCACGCAGCTACAACAGCCATAGAATTGTGCAATATCCCGAGTTGGAAGGGATCCACAAGGATCAAGTCCAACCCCCAGCTCCACAAAGAGCCACTCAAACACCCCTCAGGGCACGGTTGGCCTTTCTGCAGGTTCAGATTCAAGTTGCCACCAACTGGAATGCACAGATCCCTTTTTGCAGGGCTGCTCTCCAGCCCCTCACCCCCCATTCTGTACATACAGTCAGGGCTGCCCCATCCCCAGTGCAGAACTTGGCATTTGCTCTTCTTAGTGCAGATGCTGACCTCAAATTTGTCCCGATCTCAGTGCAAGGTCTCTCTACCCTCAGAGGACCCAACACTCCTCCCAGCTTAGCATCATTCACAAATTTACTTCATACAACTTCCAGATCTTTATTAGAATCAACAGTAAAGAAAACCAGACCGAAGATGGAGCCCCACAGAATCCCTGTGCTGACAAGTAGGGCAACTCTCAGGTCATAGTCTCCCTTTGCCCAACACAGCCATGTTTTGGTCACCACAGGACATTTTTAGGGTCACATCACCATGGCCTTACAATGTCACGAGCCATCTCCATGCTGACTGCTATCAATACAGGGACCCTGACAGCAGAACACCAGTTGCTGACTGACTGACGTCTGGAAAGCACACATCTGAGGAGCTCCTCACCTACACCCTTCCTTCCCATTCTGGAAACTTTTGCAGACAACTGATCATCCACCAAAGAAGCTTTGGCTTCTAGAAATGAGACTCTTCTTTCAGCAGCACCTCAACAGTGACATGGAACCCCTGTGCTGAATGGCTCTGCAGCTGTTGCTTAGTCTAATGTGATGGACAGACAGTGCTGAGGTGGGTTTGAGAGGTGCTTCTGTAAAAGGCAGCTGTGGAGTTTTAGGACTGGCACCACTGACAGAAGAGTAGCCTGAGCTCCCTTCACAGCTGGGATTTCTTGAGGCAACACACGCTGAAAAAACTCTGTGAGTTTCATCTGGAGTCCTGGCCTTCCTCGGCGGTGCTGCGTGCCCAGGACACTCGACAGAGAGGCTGTCCTCATCACTGGAGTCCTGACAGCAGTGCTCTGCTGGATCCACGTACACCACTGTCACATCCAGGATTCCACTGGGACTGGTGACTGAGGGATGAGAGAAGGAAAAGGCCAGTCAGAATTTGGGCAACACCAAGCTAACAGTCGAGCAGAGAAAAAAAGTGCAAGTGTAAACCTTGTCGAGAGGGGAGGGTAAGGGTAGAGCTTACCCTCATTAAAGTAATTTAATATTTCCCTCTCGCCCTGTTTGGAGAGGTACTGCCCAACTTGGAAAATGAAAGGCCAGAGCCTGTGTGTCAATAAAACAAACAGCTGACAGCATTCCAACACTGGCTACAGTGCAACCCATTCATTGAGTTTGGCCTACTGCTGCAGCAGTACCTGAAAACACCGTCTTTGAAATGCTGAGTGGCTGCAAAATCCTTCAATAAGTTCTGAAGTAGTGCAGAGAAGAAACATTTACCCTTGAAGAGTTTAACAACTATAATCGCTGGGGGAGGAAGAGAGTTTCCCCAGCTGCTCTTCTCCTGAAAGTTCAGGCTTATCTCCCAGTAAAGAGTTTTATGCAAAGATAAAAAGGCAGACGTTGATTTCTCTCATCTGTTTTTTTTTTATAAGACTAAAAGCCTTACCATCTCCATCTCTCTCGCCTTCGCTTTCCTGATCACCTTCATAACCAGAGCAGGAATCTAAACTCCAGTCCAGGAAGCTGTCCAGAAGACTTTCTTCCTGGGTGGATAGCTCAGCTGTAGGTGTAGTCACCAGGCTGCCCCTGTCATCCTGAGCGCTGTCTTCCCTCCTCCTGTAGCAAGAACATCCAGAAGTCACACATTAAAAGCCAACTCTGCTTCTCCAGCTCTTCTAATAGAGATGTCAGGCCAAGGTAACGACAGAAGGAATGGAAGCTCAGGATGCCAGAGAGGAGGAAAGGCTCATGCAAGTCTTCACAGACCTTTACAGCCATGGGTTATACTCACCTTTTAGATCTCTTTCCAGAGGGAGAGCTAAAGAAAGCTTTAATTTCTATGACATTTGTGTGCAGGGGACTGGGTTTCAGGTCCTCCTGCTTCACACCCAGCAGTGAACAGAGCTGGCTGTAGCTCAAAGGGTTAAGAATTAGACCATGTGATTCCCTCTGCCAGGAAGCAGCTATTTTATCCTTATTTATCTTTATTTCTTTCCAGGAGAAAGCTATCCTGCTGAGTCCTTCCTAGAACTGCTGTTCAACCACAGCAGTTAGATTCCCAGCAGACAAAATTTAGAAGCCCCAACCTTACCCAGCCATTCTCTACTTCCAAAACCTGAAGTTAAAACCCATTTCTCATTACTGGAAGTTTTGAACACCCTGCCATACAGGAGATTTTTCTCAAGGAGTCAGATTTCAGCAAATGAACTACAACAGCAAACCCACCTTTTCTTGGCCTATTTTGTCATAATGCTCACCTTCAGATTGTCTTTAAGTGCAGTGAGACAACACCTGCCTGTAATCCTTAGGGACCTCATCATAGAAACTGGAAAGAAAGACCAGGGCTTTAATCTTAGAATGGATTATATAGAACATTGTTAGCAAGTTCTGGCCATGTAAGCACCTTCCCTCTGTCCCCCTCAGCTCTGTGCCAAGGAAACTGGCATTTCAGCAGAGCTGCTAAGCATGCAAGCATCCAATTCCTTTTCCGTTTCTTGAGATATTTGACTTCCAGCCTTTCAGAAATGAATTATTTTTGCTACTGAACTCCTTCTGGAGCTCATCAAAAACTGGTCACAGTCACCTGAAAACAGTGATGCTGGCAAGCTGATACCTGCTGGGCTTGGGGAGCACCAGGGCTTCTGTAAGCCAGGGCCACTGCCAGGCAAGACAAACGCAACAGCCGTCACTGAAGCAGCCCCTAGATTTCAGTGCCCTGGGGTAGGGGGAGTAAAGCAGTTTGCTAAAGCCACCTCCTCCCTTTGGAAGGACTTCCAGCAGGGCTACGAGAGCCAGAATACAAAAACACTCCCAGAAGAGTTCCCCAAGTTTTACCATTTTTGGTGAAGGCGCAGCACACACGGCAACAGGTCTTCAAGAGAGAACCCAGTGCACTCAGACAGCTGGCTGGTCCAGGGATGTGCTGGAGGAGGGAACAGGCATTACCATTTCACAGAGCTCACAAGTTCTATAGTCAGACAGAGCTGTTAATGGGGTAAAGATCATGCCTGTGTGGTGACAATCTTTAGGAGCTTTTGCCTGCACACAGCTGAAGTTCAGAATTTGCTTCTAGGATAGGCTTACTTGAGAAATGGAAGCTACGCCTAAGTAGAATTCTACTGCATAGATAAGGGCAAAACCCTTCAGTCTCATTTAAATGCAGGGCTCACGTTATTGCATTGCTACAGACCAAACTCAACTCCATTCTCACATATTACACCTTTCCCCCCTCCCACACTCCCCAGGGTGGTTGGGGCACCTTGCCCACAGAGGCTCCCTGAAGGGATGAGGCAGCCTGATGCACTTTGCTGCAGCTCCACTGAACGGGCTGCTCCTTACCGTGGCCATGCAGGATCTTAGCCAGCAGCAGTGCTGCAGCAGCCAGCCGAGCTGGGGAGTACCCGAAAAGGCTCGTGTTTAGGAGAGACAGCTCACAAATGAAGCTGTAAAGGTGAAGAGTTCTTCTCTCCAGTGAGACTATGTTTGACAGCACTTCTTTGTAGTCCACAATAGTAGGTACCTAATGCACAAAGGAGAACAGAGGTTGGCAACACAACTCAAGCACCAAGTATTTAGACCACCGTTGTTCTCACAAGACACTGCTTTCATTACCAAGTATTATTTTAAGTTCTATGCTACCACTGAAATACTCCCCAGTGAAACAATAAATGATCTCTGAACGTGCCTTAAGAAACTCAAGTTTTAATCTCTACAGGAAGGCAGATGGTTTGGTATCTGCATGCTCTTAAATGTGCAGTCTCCACAGGAAACACTTACAATACAACTTTGTTCTTTTTATACAAGAGATCCATTTCAACTGCAGCCCCAGGGATAAAATTGCCCATCCACTTCCCAAACTCACCCTTATCTTTAGTTAATATCTTATTAATAACTTAATATCTCACATGTGGGAGACAAAGGCACATGGCCAATATCTTTTTAGTGGTCTGTGGGGACAGGACAAGGGGAAATGGCCATAAACTGGAGCACAGGAAGTTCCACACCAATATGCAAAAGAACTCGTTCACAGTGAGGGTGATGGAGCACTGGAACGGGCTGCCCAGAGAAGTTGTGGAGTCTCCTTCTCTAGAGATGTTCAAGACCTACCTGGATGCCTCCCTGTGCAGCCTGCTGTAGGGAGCCTGCTTTGGCAGGGGTTGGACTCGATGATCTCTAGAGGTCCATCCCAACCCGTACAATTCTGTGATCTTTCCTTCTAGGGCACAGATGATCACAACCATCATTCTGACCAAGTCTTCATATCTGTATGTGTTGTCTGTTAGCCATACAGCCTCCTGTATCATCAAGATCTCTTTGCTGATCAAACTGCAAAATCAAATGTTATTAACAGTCAGACCCAGCAGAAAGAGAATTTGTCTGTGGGGACATAAGATCCTAAGCCTGGGAGAAGTATTTTACAAATTTAACTTTACAAATACCAACACTCAAAGCAGAGTTCATTTGCTAACTCCTGGCACTGCACAAAGTGCTGGGCAAGTCGCCTCCTCCTGTCAGCCATCAGTCCCTTCTGAATCACCCAGCACACCAGGGATGTAGCAGAGCTCAGTTGGAAGTTTACAAAAGATCACCTCTCAGTGCAAATCCAAAAGCTATGCATTGGGCACACCTGGGAGTTCCAGAAGCCCTGTGTGCCAGGCTATCACTGAACACCTAGCTATGTGCTGCCCAGTTCTTAAGTTACACTGAAAGACAAAGCTGAAGAGGCATGACAGCAAATGAAACCTAACACACACTGAGGAGAGCAGACTTCTGCACATCACTGCTCTAGAATCTGAGCACAGAACCATCAGTATTCAAAAGAAATAGCTTTGTAGGCAACCAGCAAAACCTGAGACAATTAGTCTGATCTGTA